ACTGGTTGCTCCCGCGGAGGTCCTTGGTTCAGAACCCAGCACCCACATGGCAGCTAACAATTGTCCTTAACTCCAGTTCCAGGGGATCCAGTGTCCTCTTTTGTCCTCCACAGGCTCCTGCACACATGCGGTATGCATAAACTCATTCACACAACACACACTAATAAATTGGGGAGAGGGGGATGGAGAGATGGCCCAGAGGTTAAAAGCACTGACTGCTCTTGCAGAGGATCTGGGTTCAATTCCCAGCACTCACATGGCAGCTATGAATCATCCTTAACTCCAGTTCCAGGAGAATGTGATGCCCTCTTCTGACCTCCACGGCATTGCATGACACAGCACACTCACATACATGCAGGCAATACACTCTTACACATAAGATTAAAATAAATAAATAAATAAATAAGATATATTTTGAAAAAAGGAAAACACCTGGGCATGGTGGCACACGCCTTTGATCCCAGCACTCAGCAGGCAGAGGCAGGCAGATCTCTGTGAGATCAAGGCTAGCCTGATCTACACAGTGAGTTCCAAGCCAGCTGGGGTTACAGAGAGACAGTGTCTCAAAAACACAAACAAAAAGAGAGAAAAAAGGAAGACAGAAAAATATTTTAAAAATGTGACACCTTTGATCCCAGCACTCAGCAGGCAGATCTCTATGAGATCAAGGCTAGCCTGATCTACACAGTGAGTTCCAACCCAGCTGGGGTTACAGAGAGACAGTGTCTCAAAAACACAAACAAAAAGAGAGAAAAAAGGAAGACAGAAAAATCTTTTAAAAATGTGTCCTTTAGTCAGGCACGGCAGCATGTCTGTAATCCCAGCACTCGAGAGGCTGAGACAGGAGGAACACTGAGAGCCTGAGACCAGCCAGGTGAATCCGTTTAAAAAACTGAAGTGTTCTTGAAAGTGGAAGTCCATACCATTTCTATGACAAGGTACTTCTTTTCTACCGTCATACAAGGTATAGCCACGTTTGCACTAACTGCCAGCCAACCCCATTCTGTGTGTTCGTGTCCATTTTTCCAGAGGTGATGTCTCATTAAGAGCACTAATGGACACCTTTAACCACAGCACTTGGGAGGTAGAGGCAGGCTCTGTGCAAGACCAGCCTGGTCTACATAGGGAGTTCCAAGCCAGTTGGGGCTACAGGGACATACTGTCTCCAAAAAAAAAAAAAAAGGTACTAATGGAATATTTACTTCTCACACAGCTTCTCATGTCACTATGATGAAAATTCCTGACACAGACAACTTAATGGAAGAGAGGCTTATTTTGGCTCATAAATTCAGAGGTTCATTGCAATGGCTGCAGTGGCTCCACCTATGGAGACAGAAATGCGAAGTTGTGACTTATTCATATGGTACAGACTAGGAGCAGAAAGCAGAGGTTGAAACCAGCAGCAGGTATAACTACGAAAGGTCCACCGCCAGGAGCCTACTTCTACCAGCCAGGCCACGCTTCCTAAAGGCTCCACAACCTCCTCAAACATTCCACTATCTGGGGACCAAGAGTCCAAAAACATGAAGCTGGGAATAGATCATGCAGCAAAATGGTGGGGGAGGGGTTGGTGGCAGATTGATAACTGCCTCACAAATGCACCTACAAGGTACATGTAGCAAAACTGCTGAAGAAAAAAATGTTGGTGTTTAGAACATGAGGAATTACTTTTGCTTGAGGTTCGTGTGTGTGTGTGTGTGTGTGTGTGTGTGTGTGTGTATGTGCACGCCTTAAGTTAATATCAGGAGTTTTGCTTGATTGCACACCATTTTACTGAGGCAGGGTCTCTCACTAAACCTGGAGCGTGTGGATTCCAGCTAAGCGTCC